GCAAGGAATAATTTGAGTTTCAGTCCTTGAAAGTGAGGACATTTATGCTCCTCCACGGAATCCTTTACTTTTCAGCCTTCAGATCAATATTCCTCTATGCTTGTCCACCATTTTGATCCAGACTGAAGTCTTTCCACAGCTAGTTGATCTGGTTTAATGGCTGTAGCAGCGAGGATCAGTGGCTGCGATCAAGATGCCACCGGTGTGCAGGATTACAGAGAAATCAATGGGTGTGGGTGTTTTGATGCACGCCACACACCAACTATGTGTGCTGCTTATTTCTTATGCGCCTGGCAGTGGTGGAATGTAACTAAGTACAGTTACTCAAATACTGTACTAAAGTACAGTTATGAGGTACTTGTACTTTATGCAACTTTTTTGCTTTTATATACCACTACATTTTGGAGGCAATTATTGTACTTTTTACTGCACTACGTTTATTTGACAACATTAGTAACTTTCCAGATTCAGATTCTTTATACAAACTATAAATCATCTAATAAATGATGATGTGTTATTATAGATTAAACTACCCAGCAGTATATTAAGTAATTCAAATGAGCTCCACCTTTACCAGCTGCACCATTAAAGTGATGGACACATTAAATATGATCCAATAATATAATGTACTGTATATTAATCTGAAGTGGGTCATTCTGCATGATGAGTACTTTTACTTTTGTTACTTTGAGTATATTTTGATGGTAATACCTGTAAGAGTTTGAATGCAGGACTTTTACTTGTAGGAGTACTTTTACTCTGTGGCATTACTACTTTCACTGAAGTAAGAGTACTTCTTCCACCACTATTATCTGATGACTGACAGGCAGCATTCTAATTGTACAAATTTCCAAAAGTCTCAGAAAATGGAGACATTTATACTTGTGTAGAATACAATACTTTTTTACTCTGAGTCTAAGAGTGATATAATTTAATTTAGCAAAAAACAATATTTCAAGCAAATGGTTGTGATCAGGGTTCAGGTCGGTCCTTTTAGGTTTGTCGTGTTTGGAAACCCTCCTGATATATTTGCTCTCTGTGATCCGGATGCAGCTGATGGAAAGAGTCTGGTGTCAGTGGGAGTCGATGACGGACATTCACTCGTTGTCTGGGACTGGAAGAGAGGAGAGAAACTCGCTACTGCCAGGTACACAACTGACACAACTATTAAACAACAACTGCTACCTTTACTCCTAAACCGACATCACTGCGACTACTATATTACTGCTTCAGGTACAAGTAATGTAACATTGGTGTTTATAAGGAGGAGAGGGCAACAGCTAACGACTACGGTCTTATACTTTAAAGTGCTGTTCATCCTGCATTTCTTCTGTATATACTTGTTCTCCTTTTCTGCAGGGGTCACAAGGAGAAGATCTTTGTGGTGAAGTGTAATCCCATGCTGATGGACAAACTGGTCACTGTGGGAATCAAACACATCCAGTTCTGGCAACATGCAGGTAAAACTTCAGGAATGATGTTTGAACTGGTTTCACTTCATCAGAGATCCCCACACTGAAACTAGAGCTAATTACACTCATTCATGTTTTTGCAAAAAAGTATTTTTAGTGTGTTTTGGTTTCTGAGAATCTGGACGCTTGAACGTGAAAGTTTCCACTTAACTGTTTTCTGATTTTTGCTGTTTGTGTTGTTTTTCATTCCTAATATGTTCGCCATGAATTAATTTACACTGTATTGTCCTCTGCTGACCTTTTGCTGCTTCAACAGCCGGTGTCCCAAAAGAGTCAATTAAAGTCTGAAATTAATCCAATGTAGACTCCTCTGTGTAACATTGGTGACATTTTTGTGGCAGGTGAAGAGGAGAGTGGGATGGTTGACAATTAGTTTGCTGCAGATTGCATCAAAATGTATTCTTCTTCCTGCAGTCATAATGCAGTCATATCTAAACACACATAATACACATAGTTCCAGATTCATCCTTATCCTTCCAGAGGATATCATTACCTTTAAATATTCGTACATAAATTAGCTCAGAAATCATTAAATGAAAAATACTACTGCTTGAAAGTTCATTTGACAAACCACATTCTGTGGGATTTACAAGACATTAAAAATGTAAATTACAATCACAAAGTAACGCCTCGAATACACACCATAGATTAGAACAGTATCCAAAAACATTTGACAATTGCCACATCAAGTTTTTATTCAATGTTTGTTGTTGTTGTTTGTTGTTGTTTAATAAAGTTGTGTCTGATGGATTACTTCTCTGTCTGTCCTCCAGGCGGCGGTCTGACGTTCAGGCGCGGTGTGTTCAGGAGCGTCGGCCGGCCGGAGACCATGATGTCGGTGTGTTACGGCCGCAGCGAGGCGCTGGTGTTCTCCGGCGCCTCCACCGGAGACGTTTACATCTGGAAGGAAGCGCTGCTGCTGAAAACAATCAAAGCCCATGACGGACCGGTGTTCGCCATGTTCTCCCTCGACAAGGTGAGGAGGACAGGTGTGTGTGTGTGTGTGTGTGTGTGTGTGTGTGTGTGAGAGAGATGCTTCTAACTGCTTCATGAAAGTAAAGCGATTCTTCGAGTTGAGTCAGAAACATCTTTTATATTATATTTATATTTCGAGATGAAAACCTTTTGGCTCAAAACTTGAACCCCTTCTGCTCGAAATCAAAACTCAAAACAATAAATCAAAGTACAAATACTGCTGTGCTTTAAAAAAAAGAGCTCCTTATAACTAAAAGTGAAAAATGCAAAACAAGTGGAAATGTTCAAAATATTATATTATGTATTAAACAGCCAAGGATTTAAAGGATTAAGTCTTTTCTTATTCGCTGGATCTCCAAACAACAACACACCTCCTGCTGCTGTTTGGCAGCCGACTCTTTAATAAATTCATCCTGAACCGCCTCAACTGATTCTTTTCGACCTGAAGTAGCAGCAGTTCTCCTCTGAGCTCTAATTATGACTTCTGTATCCCATAATTGTGACGTACTAATTAATAATTATGACTTACCATCTCATAATTACAAGACAAGATCTCATAATTACGAGATAACAGGTGTGACAGTGTATTCTGTGACCTGATTAGGAATTTCAGCTTTATTCCCACTGCAGTCCTTTGCATTACAAGCTATATTTTATCTTTCGACATGCTTTTATTTTGATAGCAAAGTATGCTACTTTGCATTTCTGATGCACAACTTTGTATCCATGAAGATCCTGTTCTGGTTTATCTGCTCCTGAATGAACAAAGAGACTTCTGGCAGGTCAGAGTGTAAGTAAAAGTAGTAATACCACAGTGTAAAAATAATCAGTACAAGTACAAGGGAAAGTCATGAATTCAAAATATGACTTGAGTAAAATTATAAAAATGTGAGTATCAAAAATATAAGTAAATGGCCATTTCAGTATAATATACTGTAGTACTGGATTGTCATTATTGAGGCATTCATGACTATCTTTAAGCTGTTAAAGGTTGAGCTGACCTCAACTGCTTTATACTTTATCAAAAATATTATATCATCATTTATTTTTCTGAATCTGCAAATTTAACTAAGGTTATAAAAAAATTGTGAAGTGAAAGAAGATTTTTTTACTTCCACGGCAGTTGGATTGTTGCGATGGCACAACATCCCGGGAAAATGGCAGGATTACATAAAAATTACACAAAAATGAATCTCTTTAGGCTCCGAGTAACGCGTTTGTGTCCATTAAGCCAGAGCACGGACCAATCAGCATCCTGTGAGGAGCTACTGACACCTGTGGGCGTGGCTTGTGTGGGCGTGGCTTGTGTGGGCGACTGTTTACAGGATCAGTTAGATCAGAACTGGAGAATATTTCTTCATTGAACGTCACTGAATAAATCACCAGCCTCATATCTTTTGAAAGTACTTTTATGTACTAAGTCATTTTCACTGTGTATGTCTGTACAATGTACAACATACTTACTGTTATGCGTGTGTTCTATCTTATTGAGATATTTTACTCTTTATACGTTTTTTTCTAGTAATTCTGAGATACAGAAGTCCTAATACAAGATATGGTCTTCTTTCCCCTCTGGTGAATGTGTTTGAACCTCCTCAACTTGCACTCAGTGTTTGTCATTTTGAGCAGAAACATCGGCTAAATGCCCAAAAACTAAATGTAGGAGTGAGCAGACGTGTAGTAGATGTAAATGTATTTTGCTGTTGGCATTTCTTCTTCCATCTGTTCCCCCCCCCCCCCTCCCTCTCTCTCTCTCTCTCTCTCTCTCTCTCTCGCTCTCTCTCTCTCTCTCTCCCTCTCCCATCTTCTCTCTCGCTGTCATTGTTTTAACTCCCTCTCTTCATTCAGTGTACGACTCTCTCTCTCTTTTTATGTAAGAGGATTTACGGACAGACGAGCCGATAGAGAGACTGACAGGAGAGTCTAGATTTACCAAAAACTCCTTTAAATCCATGAAACCTCATCCCTTGTGAGCTCATGTTCAACTTGATTTCATATCACATTTTGTCATGTTTCTTTCTTTATTCAGAAAAACTTGATTCGTCATTTGTACTTGAAGGCAGCATCTGTATGTGAATGTTGTCAGGTTTTCATCTTCAACATACAAATTCAGTTTTAGATTGAATCTTCTTTTCTCTTTCCCTTCAGCAAGATGCACTTTATAACCTACCTACATCTCCCAGTAAGCTCTTGAAATTGTCATTAAATTACAGCAATTTTAAAAAGTGGCTTGTTGCCACACATTTGACTTTTAACTAAAGTGTTGCAGAGTCAGTGATGTGTGTCTATTTACATCTGAATGACAGCAGTGCACTTTGCTTTCAAACAGACGTCTGCATCCAAAACCAAATCAGGGCCTCGTGTCCCAAAAGCATCTTAAGGCAAAGATGATCTTAAAAAATCCACCTTACGAACCTGGAAGCTCACGGTGATGTGTGGAACCGGTGGAGTTCTGCTTTAAAGGAATACTTTACCCATAAAATGATCTTTTGTTTGTCAATTACTTTGAATTCTTAAGAAAACGTATATCTTCATCTCTTCTGGCTGAAATCAAACGTTCCAGGTGATACATGTTCAGGTGTTTTTCTACAAACATGGAGACGGAAAGTAAGGAATGATGTTGTGACATGTGACTGTCTGACTCTCAGCCTCCGGTCAGGAGCTTTATAACCAAATGAAGTTTGCAACGTCATCTGCTGCTCACACCTGTCTGCTGCTCACACCTGTCTGCTGCTCACACCTGTCTGCTGCTCACACCTGTCTGCTGCTCACACCTGTCTGCTGCTCACTCACACTTTGCTGACTAAAAAGAAAAGTTGGTTGTGCAAGAATTTATGACTCTAATATCTAGAAATGAGGAAAAGTAATCTTGACTGGAAAAGTTTAGTCTTTTAAACAACATTGTCCATTTCCAAGTGTTCACTTTTATAGAATATCTTTATTATTATAGAGTTCAGGGTCTCAGTGAATGTTTTATGACTCAAAGCAAAACCTAACTTAAAAGAAATTAGTAAAAATAGACTCTATCCGACACAACGTTGACTGTGTGAGATTCTTCAGAGGAAACATCAAACAGATGTGAAGATCTCAGCCTGAGTGGGAGGGTGAGAGAGGAAAAACCTGTCAGGGGAGGATGACAAGACTGAAGGATGGCAGATCTGACAGAGGAAGGAAGGAAGGAGGAAGGGAGGGAGGGAAGGAGACGGATGTGACGGTCTCTGACTGTAACCAGGGATCAAGATATTTGTAGAGTAAAGATCTGTATTTGCCACTTATTGATTTATCTTATGCACCAGCAAGGATCACGCCACCGCAATGTGATTTTAAAGGATTAATGAAATGAGGAATACTGGATGTTGAGGATGGAGGAGTGGATAAGGAGGAGTGGGGGAGGAAGTTTAGATCGGTCTGGGACAGATATTCTGAAGGAGGAGACTCAATTTGGAGGATCTGTCTCTGTAGATGAAACTGAGACATGCAGGGCAGGATGTGGTATACGGAGGTTTAACAGGTTATTAGAGGAGCGGCCCTGCTCCCAAAACCCAAATGAACTAGTGAAATCAATAAATATAAGTATTTATTTTCAGGGCTTTGTGACGGGCGGGAAGGACGGTGTGGTGGAGCTGTGGGACGACATGTTTGACCGCTGTCTGAAGACGTACGCCATCAAGAGAGCGTCACTGTCCTCGGGCTCTAAAGGTGCACACAACTACCCTTGACCCTAAAACCAAGTGTGAACCCTCAGACATCACTTTGAGAACACGACAACACATCCTCACTTTCCAAAAATATACTTGTTCAAAACATTTTTTTGTGGGAAAAGAAGGCAGACTAAGCTACAGCTGCACCCTACACCTCTATGTGAATGTCTCTCTGACATTGATTATTTAATTTGTGGCTGTGTGAGAACTTATTATTTTATTTTAATGAACTCAATAAAGTTAAAGCTGCCTTTTAAAATGTCACGAGTAAAGTAAAACATTGTGTTACAGCTGCTTCTCTTTATTTGTGTTCTCATTGACCGTTGACAGGCCAGAGATGCTCTTATAACTGCGGTTAAGTTTTATTTTTTAAGTTGTGTTTTTAAGTTATTTATTTGCATTTTGTAGATTTAATTGTGGGGAACATGGTCAGAATTGCTGGCTCTGTTAAGGGTTTTAGGTAAAGCTGTAGAAAGCAGTAGAAACTCGTCTATCTAACACTGCCATCAGGTGGACACAATGTTACACACACTGTAGAAATATAAATATAAATGTGTGCGTGTGTGTGTGTGTGTGTGTGTGTGTTTGTGCAGGCCTGCTGCTGGAGGACAACCCGTCCATCAGGGCCATCACGCTGGGACACGGTCACATCCTGGTAGGAACCAAAAACGGAGAAGTTCTGGAGATCGACAAGACCGGACCCATGACCCTGCTGGTGCAGGTACTGTATGTTGTTCTGACCGGCCGACAGGTGTCTGTGAACTCCTCAAACATAGTCCAGTCAACAGTTCATCCTCTGTTAATAAAGACATATTAAACAGTGGGTAACCGTCAGCAGCTAGCTGATTCTCCACTGTCGCATTTATCTTAAAGGGATAGTTTGGGTCTTTTGAAGTGGGGTCGTATCAGGTACTTATCCACAGTCAGTGTTTTACCTACAGTAGATGGTGGTCAACACGTGTCCAGTTTGAAGAAACAGACAGAAGTACCAGCATGGGAGCAAAGCAATGTACTGCTGTGGACGGTATACGGTATATTTTCACTGCTTTACCTTATCGTTAGACGGCCCTTTCTGACGTGAAACTAAAGCTGTTATCTATGTTCTCTTCAAAGCCTCATTTGTCAAAAACATACATTTTACCTCGAAGGACAAGTTGCTGGTAAATTGCTGCCTCGATCGGTTAGTTTGTTTGTTTTATGGTTTGACTGACCAAGAACCTCACACAACCTCATTAAAAAAATATGAACTATCCCTTTAAATCCGAACGTTTGGCCTCTACGTGAACAGCTAATAACATTTCCCAGAATGCAACAGGTGTCCTAATGGAAAAATAAGTGACGCTCATTGACACTGACCAGTGGACGTGTTGAGGGACCCGTAAAAAAAGACGATGAGTTTATGGAGGTTCAACATCGTTAACTGACAGAGCAATCTCATCATTAGATCCACTCGTCATCATCAGGAGGAAGAACAAACTCTCAATCGACACGAATGAGAAGTCTTTAGAATTTAACATACATTTCCATGACAACAGGGAAAACGCCATCTGCTGAGGATGATCATGATCATGATTATTATTGTTATTATTATTATTATTATTATATATGAAGTGATATCACTGAAAGCTCCACAAGAGCTACTAACTGGACTTGTGCTTCTGCTTGAATAAATACATTCATGTCTTTATCAAATTAATCAATTCCATTAGAAGCGTGTGTGTGTGTGTGTGTGTGTGTGTGTGTGTGTGTGTGTGTGGGAGAGGACCTCAGGTATTTTTAAATGTCTGGCAGTCTGGTACGGCACCTGTTGCCATGGTGAGGAGAGCTGTCTGCTGCAGATCGATCAGCAGTTGCAGAATAAAATGTTTCGTGTGTTTAACGATAACGGCAGCGTAACAAAAAGAGACGCTGGGCTCTAGACTACTTTGTGACTCAATTCTAACATATTTCTAGAAGAATATTAATTGTAAATTACAAAAAAACAAAAAGATTGACCTGAAAATCATGCAGATAAAGTGGTCTTGATGGCCCTGAGCGGTGTCTGCAGGTAGTCCATATGTAGCCTAATAGGCGAAACCCAGGGTACAAAGCATCCAGGGATTTCAGTGAGTAAATTAGATTAAACAACCAAACTGAGCGGTCCAGTGTCTTACAGTAAATACAGTAAACGTATGTCTTCCTATTGATAACTGCGTGTGTGTGTGTGTGTGTGTGTGTGTGTGCAGGGTCACATGGAGGGAGAGGTCTGGGGTCTGGCCCCTCACCCCCTCCTCCCTGTCTGCGCCACCGTCAGCGACGATAAAACCCTTCGTCTGTGGGAGACGTCGGCCAATCACCGCATGGTGGCCGTCCGCAAGCTGAAGAGAGGTAAAGAGATAAAGGACCAGACCGCCTGCTTCAATGTGTTTTTACAAATCCTGTATTTTAGACTCTATTTTCCAAATCATACATCAGTTCTCAGATTAACTCACAAGGAAACCACTGACGGACTGTGTGTGTTTTCCAGGCGGTCGCTGCTGTGCCTTCTCCCCTGATGGAAAGGCGTTGGCCGTCGGTCTGAGCGACGGTGGCGTGCTGGTGGTGAACGCCGACACACTGGAGGACCTTCTGAGCTTCCACCATCGCCGCGACGCCATCTCTGACATCCGCTTCACCCCAGGTACAGACACACACATTTGCCCACCGGTGTTACCAATAGCTGTCCTCTCCTCTCTGCTCTGTGCCAACAGCCTGCAGTTCAGTCAAAGTTTCACAAAGTTGTTGTCACGTGACTGTTGGTCTCAGTCGAGTCAATCACAGCTTCCCAGTTGTGCTTAGGAGTGCAGAGTTCAATGTTCTTACAGGATCTGGCTAGTGCAAGTGGTTTACTTTCGTCAAAATTATAAATGAGACAATGAAATAGACAGCTTTGATAGCTTTGGTTTCGACAAATGGTCTGTAGGAAAAGTTAGAATCCAATGATAATGTCTGTTATTTTTTCAAGAAAACATGCTGGCGGATATATCCACTCATCCTCACACATGTTCTCAGACTTAGGTAAATTCCTGGCGGTGGCGTCACATGACAGCTTTGTGGACATCTACAACGTGCTGAGCAGTAAGAGAGTCGGGATCTGCAAAGGGGCGTCCAGTTATATCACACACATCGACTGGGACGCTCGAGGTAACACGCAGCGCTCTACATCTTCACCTGTTGCTCATATTTAAAGTTTTAAAGTCCCCCGAACATGTTTCACTTCACTGTGCTGAATGATGTTGGCTTCACTTTTCAGAACCTGAGGTTGGTGCCTCAAGTTAATTAATTCAACAATTATAAAAGATCCATTATTTATTTGTGTGTGTGTGTGTGTGTGTGTGTGTGTGTGTGTGTGTGTGTGTGTGT